CTTCTACGAAATCTATTATATAAATATTGATAGAAGACTACTCTAACACTAGTATATATACAGGTATATGTATTCAGAGTAACCTTTTTTAGAATCTTTATATAAAATAATGGAAAAGGGCTACCCTATTTGGATATATCATTCAGGGTAGCCAAATGCATAATCTATTATAAAAATATTAGCACTTAACTGTCCTATTACTAGTATGTATCCGGATGTAATATAAAGGCTACATCTTGATGGTATATATTCAGGTATATGTGATATATATATATTTAGAGGATAAGTCTTCTATGTAATCATTATATAAAATATTAGTAGAAGACTTATACTTTTTTTAGATATATATTCAGATATGGTATAAATAGACTAATCACAATACTACATATTACATTTCTAACTTCAGATGTAAAATTATCATACATATACTGGTAATATATAGGTAATAGTTATAAAGTGTGCATTTTCAACAAACAAATATATAACTGAAAATGAAGGCTTCTGCGTAATCTATTATATAAATATTAGCAGAAACCCTTAACATATATTAAGATGTATTCAGATATGATGAAAGCTTTTTTAGCGTAAATTTTATGCCTTGATAAATATAATAAAAAAGTAATAGCAAACTTAGTTAACAAATCATAAATAAAAGGGAAACAGATATATATCTGAAAGTGAAGCCTTCTTCAGAATTATTATATAAAAAATTGGAAGAAGGCTTCATCTTTCTAGATATATACTTGAGTATAGTATAAATAGGCTGACTATGATAATATATATTATATCTCTAACTTCAGACGTGAAATTGGCATACATATATTGGTAATAAATAGGCAATAGTTGCTTTGATTACAAGGTGCGCACTTCTAACAAATAAATGGGTTGACTATAATAATGCCTATTATATTTCTGAGAAGCATAATATCTCAACTAGATTCTTGAACATAATAACTTAACATCTAAGCTAGTATACAAGTGGTCTGAAATTGACAAACTAATAGAATCTCTCTAACTTCCCACTAGTTCTTTAATAATTCCATAATAGTTCTATGATACTATCACAATACTATTAAGTCACCATCATAGTGCTGAGCTGGATTCTCAAATCACATACCTAAAAGATCAACCAAAATTAATTGCAGATCTATTGTATCATCTGACACAATATTTTTTTATCACATTTTGAGATCTAGAAAGGTAACTAAATAGGCGCAAAGGGTAAGTACTCTAATATAGAATCTAACATCTAATCAGACGCAGGAGACCAGCATCCTCAACATAAAACCAGATATCCAAATAGCTACAGAGAGCCAACAACTCAATTATAGAATTTAGCATGTAAATGACTCAGAAACAAGAAAAAACATGTGATATTTAGATTATATACATATAATAATTAGATTATATTATGATAATAAAATTATATTAGTATAAAAAATACAAATATTAAGAAAGGTTTAAAAACATAATTAGAATGTAAAAAAAATATAAGAAATAATAAAATATTAGATTATATGTGATATTCAGACTGTATTATTTAGATTATATATGGTAATTAGATCACATTATTTAGATCATATGCAGTATTCAAATTCTATGTATTATTTAGATCATATGTGATATTTAAATTATATGTGATACTATAATTTAGAGTAAGTGGGATACCACATATAATATAATCATATTATATGTGGTATTCCACTACATTTTTAATGAAAAAATATAAGTCTTTAATGATTTTTAAATAATCATTATTTTTATAATATTAATTATTAAAGTCTTCTTTTATTTAATAATATATATATATATTATGATATATGATATTCAAATCTAAAAAATAAAAAAAAAAGTATAAAAGTTCAGATTTATATAGATATAGTTAAATATAAGTATATATAATAAGAAGTAAAATTTTTAAATTTTAGAATATAAAGAAATTATATAAAAATATATTTATTAAATGTATTTAAGAATTTCTATAAATTTTTATATATAAAAGCTTATCAATAAAAAAAGAAAAAAAATCTGAAAATTTCATTAATTTTAGTTTTTAAACTAATTTTGAACACATGTTTGTAATAAGTCAAGTAGACAAATAAAAAAATTTTTATCAAAATTTAGATTTTTTTCTTTTTATTAACTAGCTTCCATATATTATAATTTTTGTAGATACAATATTTTAAAATGTATTATTTTATTTATTTCTAAATTTCTATTAATGATTACATTTAAAATATTTTAATAAGTCTTTTTTTTTAATACTTTTATATTTTATAGTAATTTTTAGCATAATTATCATAAGTATCATAATTGTAAAAACTAATTTATTATATTATTTATAAGAAATACAAGTATTTTGTAATAAAAAGTAAAAAAACTATCAAAAAAATTTTTTGAATTAATATTAAATCTGGATTTATTTATTAAAAAAAATAATATTTACCTTATAAAGTAAAAAAAAATTTTTTGGTAATTTTTTACTTTTTTATTATAAAGTACTCATATATTAAAAGAATCCTATATATTTGATATCTTTCTGATCACTAACATCTTTAATATTAAGTCTTTTCACTTTTAAAAATGTAAAAACATTGATAAAATATCATTGTTTTAATATTTAAAATTTTATGTATAAATTTATATATCTCAAAATTGATTTTTATTTAAACATTTTTTTCTTAATTAACATTTCTTTTAAACTATATATATTTGCAAAATATTATTATAATCATTTAAAGCTTTTAAATTTTCCTTCTTTTTGATAGAAGAATTAATATTTTCTAACTTTAAATTTGATAAGTATTTATTCCTGTAATGATATAGTTGCAGAAAATAATAAAGAATCAATAGTAATTTTTGAAAATGAATACTTTTAAGAGACTCTTATTAATAGCCAAAAAGCTATAGTAATAATTATTAACATCAAAGTATTTTTTGACATTTACATTTCAGATAGTAGTAAAAATATAGAATCATTTGAAAGTAAAGTAAAAAAGCAGAGTATAAACCAATGTAAAAGTGTTTTTTTCTGTTATAAAGTAATGGATTAACAATTAGTTTTAAGATAAAGTTTTATAATTTGAAAGTTTCATATCTTAAGTATCTTAATAAATATTTTTAATTTTAAACTTTTATATTTTTATAATAAAGTTCATATTGTATGCTAAGTAAAAATTTTAAAAAAAAAGGTTATTAGTAAATTTTAATGAAAATTGGTTAAAATTGCAGGCAAATTTGCCTGTAATTTAAGGGATATTAAAAATTCTTTTTTATAAGTAATTAGATTTTTTTTTAAAATCTAATTAAAAAATAAAAATTATTATAATAAAGCAAATTGTTTGCAAACCTTACAACATAAAGGATAAATTTTATAAAATTAACAAGTATTTATTCAAATTTTTTAAATAAAAATAGAGATTTTGTTTTTTTTAAAAAAAAATATATTTATTAAATACAATAAGTACTGCGCTCATTTGGCCAGACTCGTCTCCAGTGACGAAGAAAATGGATAGGAGTGACAACCGTGTTTGATTATTGCTATCATAGTTTTAAGTTCATTCTTTCGTAAAGTTATATACGCTATAAAACAACGACGAACAATTCGAATCGATGGTCTATTTTCCATTTTACATGTGCAATTTAGTGGATTCCCACAGGCCCTCGGCCTGTAAATATTAGGTTGAATAAAGTAATCGGAAAATGTATAAAATAGGAAAAAAAAAAGAAACCGGTTATTATGTAAACATAAGCCTTCGTAGTTTTTCGTGATAGGGAATTTTAAGAGGGACTTGTTTTTTCTAGATAAGTCGGAAGGCTATGTTTTATTTTACGGTTCACAATTGTATAAGTTAGAATGACTGGGTTCGAGTAATAAATAATATATGTTAATCATTAGATGATTTAAAAGTGTATAAGGAAGAGAAAAAAAAAGGATAAGCTATTTTCTTAATCAGAGTTCTACTCGTAATATCGAAAATTCCGAAAAGAAAATCACTGCCTCATTCATTACCTTTCTAATAATTAATTAGGTTAAACTCTATCTGCATTACACGGAATATAAATGATTATAATTAATTATTTTATTTAAAACAACTTTTTTTATATGGATTGCGTATTTTTTTGAATATACAAATACTTTCATTATGCTAATAAAAGAATCGCTTTATTAGGATAATGATGATTACAAATTCGATCTATCTAGAGGCTGTGATGCGGACTAATCTACAATAAAAGGTTAATATCAGAAATTCTGGAGATAGAATAATAAATTATCTCCACAAAAAAAATGGATTTAACGATTTCGCTTTGAAACGTTTTACCATAACGTCTGTTTGTTATACAAGACCAAATATTTATTCTGTTCTGTGAATTTGTAATTAAAAAAAGGCTTATCTGTTCTATGGGCTTTTAAATTGAGAATATCCCTCTCAATTTTTTTTGAAATTCTTTTTTGGGAAATTTACGGTAAAACTAAATTTAGAACATGTTTTTTTTATTTAAGTTTAGAATGGCTAAAAAAGCGCATTAGTGATAAATACACAACATGGATGCAAGCATAATTTAATAATAGAAACTTATTACATCACTAAAATTCTAAAATCATAAGAAGAAAAACCATACTCAATTGTTTAACGACAATCGATGATTTATTTGGTAAACTTCCAATGAATGGGTTCATTGTATTTGAACATATTAGATTAGAGGCTCATGTAAATTTTTAAATTCAAAATCCCTTTCTCACATTTCATCAGTAAATCTGAATCAACTAAACTTTTAAAGACAACTTATTTTTAGATTCAATTGTAAAAAAATATGATTGCCAAAAAAAAATTTTTTTTTTTATATAAAAAGCTTCCCAGATTGTTGTCATTCCTTTTCTATAAAAAATTTTTTTTTCACACTTGTAAAAAGGATTAAATATTTTTATAATCTCTAATTCTATAAATAATATTTCCCCCGACTTTACGTTTTTAAATACTTGCGATATGAATTTTTTTATGAAATCCACATTTTTCTTCTTTATCCTTCTTGCAACATTATGTACGGTACTGGTGCCAATTAACGCCGCAAAAGTTGCCTATGCATATTTTAACCATAATGTCACAGGACGCTATACATTCATTTGGAATGAAGATGTCATGGAAATCGTAATTGAAATTAAAGATGGTTTAAAATATGGTGAAAAATATCCTTATCATGTTCACG